CTAATTGCAGACAACTTTAGAGATTCAGGAAACACTCCTTCTCTCAGTGAGTTATTTATGACAAAGCAAATTACCAATTTAATTCTAATAAGAACTCGTTATATCTGTTCGATATTTCGTCTGGCTCTCCATCAATTATGGCACTGTGCTTGCTTGAATTACCTGATTTTTCATTATAAATAGTCCACATGCATTTATTTTTATTGCCCGAGTTTTGTATCCTCTTAGCATAATTCTCTGCTCTGACTGTAGTCAGCAACTTATCATATGCTTTTTTCACCGTAGAATAAATTTCATTATAATTATTATTCCGACGTTTTAACATCAGTAGAACATCTAGTCTATTTTTTAATTTTTGTATTTCTTCATTATCGGTATAGAGAGTATTTGTTCTATGTTTAGAGTTAAATAACTTTTTCGGAAAACTTTGATTAAAAATTGGCAAAAAAGTGCTCATAAAAATTGACCATTGTTTATTTGCATCCGCCACATCTATAGCATAAACTTCTAACCATTGTTGTTGATTTAGAATATCGAAAAACTCTCTTCGACTATCCTCACTGAAAACTATCTTGAAGTAGCATTGCTTTGTCGGCTTTAGGGGAATTTTACACTCTAATACTATTTTTTGTGCAGTGTGATCCGAGATGACTGTATTTAGAATATGACTTGAGACCCTGCATTTCGGAATATTTGTAAATATATTGTCTATACAGCTATTAGATGTTGATGTTATTCTTGTATTTGGATCTATTGTTTGGTACAGATTAAATACTTTAAGCCTTGGCAAATGTATGGCAAGGCTTAAAGTAGCAACAACGCTACACATAGAAACTGATGATGGTGGAAAACACCAAAACGTATTTTAATTGATCAATAGACAATAAATGACTGAAGCCCAGGAATTGATTTTGACTATCGTGAAACTTAATTTTTCAACTTTATTTTGTTTGGTCCCCAGGCAGATCGCCGTTCTACACTCCGCCTCAGCCCCCATGCCGGCGAGCCCCCAGGGCTGAAATGTCCATGTATGGCAGCTCGTACGATCCTGGTCCTGGCAGGGTGCAACCGCCCTTATATCCGCAAATTAATCCTGAATCAAGTCCCGACTATTGGCGCCGCTCGGAGGAGTTTGAGGAAAGAGGAGCGCCACAGAGGAAAATGGTGGTTTGCCCATCGCTTAAGGCCCCTGCTCAAGGTACTCGCTGGTCAAACATTGACGCAAATTTCAAGAGAAATGCAAATTTTTCAGAACCTCCGCCCAGGAGGATGTTGGTTTGCCGTCCCCCTCCTGCCAGGCCTCCTCATGGAGGTAATGAAAGAACGTGGGGTTTCTCGAGGAAAATTTTGCTGGTTTCAGGTTGCGACCCCAACAATTGCCGGCTGGACAGCAACTGATTCTGAACGGTTTCCGACTTGTGGTGTGCTGATGTGGATGTTTTTTGTGTCAATAAATCATATTTTGGGCATATGCAATATCGAGTTTTTAGTTTACGTTACAAAGTACAAAATAAACAGGCGCTCTAGCTAAAATGGACCGCCCCTCAAAAAAGGAAAACAAGGCTTTTGATGCAATAAGAAATGAAAATGCAATAAGAAATGAAACTCTAACTTTTGATCTTACTAGAGCATACGTCCAGGAACATATCAATGTTGCGTTGTGCTTCAGATGTTGTAATTTCGGA